CCATCCCTTTTTAGCGAACAGGAGACACAAAACACAGCTAAAATCCACTGTTTTGATTGTATCCATGCTGAACAAGTAAACAAACGTCACAAACTTCATCACTATGGTTAACTATTGTTGACGTCATTGTTCGTGTGCAAATAGAGAAAATAGAAAAATTAGGAAAATTGGGAAATTGGGAAAAAGAATAGACATAGCAGAGCGTGGTTTCGATCCACGGACCTCTGGGTTATGGGCCCAGCACGCTTCCACTGCGCCACTCTGCTGACATGTCAGTGGACGTTATTAACACCATTTTGAGCCATTTAATATGGCCTTTCACGTTCTGCCGAATTTTCATGCAGTGGTTTCTTGGTACAAGTATGTCCCAAGTGGTCTAGTGGTTAGGATTTCGCGCTCTCACCGCGACGGCCGGGGTTCGATTCCCCGCTTGGGAGTGTATTTTTTTGGACATCGATATGAAAACAAGACGTCCAATCATTTAAAAGACACATTGATAAAACCTAGTTAATGCAAAAGTTACATGGAGATGCCGGGGATCGAACCCGGGGCCTTTCACATGCAAAGCGAACGCTCCTTTTTTTTTTTTTTTTTTTTTTCTTGTAAAAATATGTTTATTCAAGATAAATTACATTCATAATATACACATTTCCTTAATTCAATTACAGGGTATGGGAATATTTCATCGCATACAATAAGGCTCATTTTATACAAATGCACAGTGCTAAAAGACTTATTTTTGTTATTTCATATTCTTTTGATATAGTAGAGTTATATACAATAGGGTAAAAGTATAAAAAATTAAGTATATACATGTTAAAATACAGAGCCTTTTAATAAGCAAAAAATTGGATTTCTAGAAATTAAATACAGGATTATTTTGGTTTTGTAATATCACTGTTACAAGAATTTTTTGAGCTTCATAATTACCTATTTTGCATTGCTAAATTGTGATGTGTTATGAATACTTGATTTGTACATATGAATATATAATATCCTAAATTATCTCAATAATCTTTGGATTATATATTTTTACTTTAAAATCTTAAAATTTTACACATTTCTTAATTAAAGAAGAAATATATGTGATAAAAAATGAATGATCAGGTCTATTTTGAGTATATAATAGCAGAAATAAGTTTACAAATGAAAATTTACATGAGTTAAACAAAAGGAGACTATAAATAGTGTGATATTAGGTCATTAGGTCAGCCAATCAGAGAACAGGTAAACATGTAGTATTGGAAAAGAATGTCACATGATATGATGCACTGGTGGTTATTGACCTAAGGTCACTGTCGGCCAATCAGATTTGAGCGAAAATATAGGTTATTGGGTTAACCAATCAGAAGTGTGTAAACAATAAATATGCTACTATATTTACATAATAAAAGGTATGGGTATTGCAAACATCTTCAAAAAGAGCCTTTTACAAAAAGGTCGAAAAAGGAAAAGACTCTAAGAAGGTATTTACTTTTAACTAATAAAATAAATAGGCAATTAAGTGTTCTACACAAGAACACCTTAAACTAATTAGTGTATATTGTAGAATATATATATTATTTAAAAGTCAAGATTTATTGTGCCATCAATCTCCAGTGTGATAAGGCAAGATGGCAGAACAAAATCTTGGATAAAGTTTTTATTAATTAATGCATAATATTTGCTAATGTAAAATAAATTTTCCTTTAACGTACATTTAAAAAGTTGAATAATGTCGATATTACAATTTGGGTTATCCATCGAAACCATGCGGCGTTTGTATAATGCATAACGTGCTGAAGATAGTATTGCGTTACACAAATTGTAATATTGAGACTTAATACGGGTTTGGAAACCAAAAATCATATAAATTGTTAAGACGGAATCTAAAATATTACATGAGAGTATATCATTTAACATCATTTCTAATAATCTTAGTAAAAGTTTACAATCTAAGCATGAGAAGAACATGTGTGTTAGATCTTCAGGGTCCTCTAAGCATACTGGGCACAGGTTATCACTTACTTTTCCAATTTTATACAGTTTAATATTTGTCCAAAGAATATTATGTACAATTTTAAAATCTAACTCTTTTATCTTGGGAATTTTGAAATTATCAGCAATATTTTTCCACGTAACATCCCAATTTACATCATAATTAAAACTTTCCCAATATAAAATGCATTTAGGTTCTATACAAAATAATTTTAGAAACGTGGAATAAATCCATTTGCTTGTAAACTGATCTATTGCAATCTTTATGTCATTGATAATAAAATATTCGTCCATCTTTTTGCCTTTATATTGCTGGGTATTGATAATTCCACGCCATCCCTTGGGAATTGCAAGCTTTATAACATTAAAAAACCTAATAACTACATCAGTATCAATATCAGGATAAATTTCTTGACACATGTCTATAATGGAATGTGGTTTTAAAAAACCTGGAATAACATAGTAAATTAAATCTTCTATTTTAACAATATTAGAACTTTCAAATATAAAATTTGATAACATTTTACCATGAAACCGTACAAGTGGATTGTGAAAAATTGGTTGTACAGAAATATCATTAATATAACATGGATTGGGTCTAGTATTTGTATTTAAGGCATCCCAAGCTCTAAGTAAGGATTGATAAAAGTATGGTAATTTTAACAGAAAATTATGGTGGAAATGTATCTTTAGAATGTCTGGTCCTAGATTAAGGTTTCCATACTTTAAGAAGAAATAATTCATGATATCTTTCCAAACTGATTGGAAATTACTATCAAAATACTTAACAAGGCATTTTAAGGCTAGAGACTGTGCCTTTAATTTAATATCAAAGAGAGCCAGGCCTCCATTACTTTTAGTATTAATGAAAGAGCTATATTGGATTAATGGGGGTCTGCCTCTCCATACAAATTTGTTCACAGCTTTGGTTATCTCCCTTTCTACATGGTCAGGTATTGAGGTAACTGCCAGGCTATACCATAATTTTGACATAATTAAAGAATTAACAATAGTAACTTTTCCATGCAGTGTAACCTGGCGGCTACTCCAATACCCTAATAACCGTTTAATTGCCAAGACTTTAGAGTTCCAATTTAAATCACTACATAAATCAGGATTAGTTCCAACATAGACACCTAAAATTTCTATAGCACCTTCAACTTGTTTAAGTGGAATTTCAAGTTCAAGTACTTTACCTTTTGCTGTTCCAACAGGTAAGATTTCAGATTTTTCAACATTGACTTTTGCTCCTGAGGCTTGTAAATATGGTTCTATTACATCAAAAACAGTATTTACAGAATGGATATTGTTTAAAGTTAGATTAGTGTCATCAGCATACTGAAAAATTATTGAGGTAAGATTACTGTATTTTAATGATATACCTTTGAGTGGAGATGCTTTTATTAGAATGTTCATTGGCTCAGCACTGAGAATATATAACAAACTACTCAAAGGATCTCCTTGTCTGATACCAGTGAACATTCTGAAAAAGGGAGACAAATGACCATTTATTTTAACACTACTACAAGTATCATTATTATATAAAATCTTAATAAAATTAATGAAAAACTCACCAAATCCATAATACTTTAAAATAGAATATAAATAGTTTCTCGACAAAACATCGAAAGCACGGGCTGCGTCTAATTTTAAGATGTAAGCTTCTATATTCTCCTCCTCGGCATAGCTGATGATGTCCCGGATACTGGCAATGTTGTCATAAATGTTTCTTCCTGGAACACCACAGCTTTGTTCGGAGGAAACTATAGAAGCTACAACTTTCTGTAATCTGGCACTTAAAACTTTGGCAATGATCTTATAATCTGTATTAAGTAAGGATATTGGGCGATAGTTTTTTAAGGCTCTCTTATCCCCCTTGTTTTTATATATCAGGGTAAGCATGCCCTGCCTCATTGTTCTGGACAATGATTTATTTGAATAAATATTTTGAATAATTTTGAGTAATACAGGGCCTAATTGTTTCCAAAATTTTATGTAAAACTGGGGGGTAAGAGAGTCTAATCCTGGGCTTTTACCATTTGGCATCTTATTTACAACATTTGTTAATTCTAATAAATTAATTTCTTTATCACATATATCTTTTTCTTCCTGGTTTAAACAATTACTAACTAAACCACATACTGACTCTATTGCACATGAATCTTCCATTTGGCCATCATTATTATACAAATTTGAGAAATATCTAGAAGATTCATATACAATAGAGCCAGTATCATTTAAAACAGAGCCATCAGATAGCAACAAACTACCAATATGATTATTACTTTGCCTTTGTTTTTCAAGATTTAAAAAGAATTGTGTATTTCTGTCGCTTTCAACATTATATCTAATTTTTGACCTCAGAATAGCACCATTACACAAATTTGTCTCATATTTACTTAAAGTTTCTTCTAACTCAATTATTTTATTATACTCATAATTAACATTAATTGCAGCTTTACTATATTCATTATTTAATTTTTTCTGTAATTCAATGAATTCATATTTCTTAGTTTTTGCAATATTTTTTGAAAAAGTTCTTGAATAAGCTTTGATCTTAAATTTCAAATTATCATACCATACCAGTATATTTTGTTTATAAAAATCTGATTTTACTTCATCATCTATTAAGTTTGAAATATATGTACAATATGAAGTATCTTTAAGCAATTCATTATTGAAAATGTAAACTCCTGGTCCTCTTTCACATTCAATAGGATTAAAAACAAGATTTACAAGGTTATGATCAGACAGTTTTGAATATACAATTGAACTATAAACGGAGTTTACCTTAAGTGGTGTACTTACTAATATGTAATCAATTCTGCTCATTTTTAAATTTTTATGTCGTACACCTCTTCTGGTGAAACTCCGTTTATCTGGGTTTTTGTATCTGAAAATATCACATAAGTTATTATTATATATAAAGGAATTAAAATTTGCACATGAAGCTTTATGTGTATACATATTTTGAAATCTATCTAAGTTTGGTATTAAAACATCATTGAAGTCACCACAAATAATATTATTTTCATCATTTTGTATGTATTTAGTCAGCTCTCCAAAAAATAAGATTCTTTCATTTGGATTGTTGGGGGCATAAATTGAAAATATATTTGTATCCTGTTCATCTATTGTACATTGTACCTTGAGAATTCTTCCCTGTCCATCTTTACTTACTTGCTTTATACATGACTTAAAACTGTTTCTCATTAAGATAATAACTCCTCTACTATCTCCTTTAAAAGGATTTGAAATAATATAATAATCAGTATTACTGACAACATCATTAATATCAAAATTTTCATCCCAATGGGATTCTTGTATACATGCAATGTCAAAATTCTGCTCACTAATCATTGAAAATACATTTAAAATCTTATCTTTGCTCTTGAAGCTGTTGACATTCCATGAAGCTATTTTAATCATCATAAAAGTAAAGGTTAAAAATACGTATCTGTTCATTGTTGTAGGTTGTCTTTTCTTTGCTGTCTATCTTCTACTATCTTTCTGATGTTATCTATGCTCGGTTCATATCTTCTTCTTGCTGGTTTTTTTGGTGGAGGTGGCTGTATTTTCTGTGTTTGGGGATCTGTTTTCTTTTGCTGGGGAGGGGAATCTGTTTTCTGTTTGGATGGTGATGGGTCTTTTCTCTGTTGTTGTTGTTTTTGTATGGAGGGGGGGTCTATTCTCTGTTGTTGGTGTATTGAAGGCGCGTCTTTTTTCTGTTGGTGTTGTTGGATACGTATTTCTTTTCTATGTTGTTGTTGTTGTTTTGGTTGTTGGTCTGTTTTCTGTTGTGAGTGTGTATTATCCTGTGGTTTCTTCTGTTGTTCCATCTCTTTCCGGATATTAGTTGCTGTGTCATTGTCTGAGATGGGTTTTCCTTCTGTTGGTTTTAAAGCAATGCTGGAATCTTTTTGGTTTGGGGTTGAAGTTGGTTCTGGTTGTTGTTCAACTCTTTGAAGTGCTGGTGGGGTCATGATGGTTTGGTTTTGCATAATACATATATTATCGTCTGGCCCAGGTATAATGCTGTAATCGTTGATGTCTATCTGTTCGCTATGATCACTGATGTTTGATTTGTTCCCAACTTTGCTTTTCTTGTTGTTTCTGTCTGTCTCAATTGAATCTTCTTTATTTTCCTGGTTAGTTTCCATTTCTGCTGTTTCAAAATCTATTAAATCTTTTTCTTCCTGTCTTCTTTCTCCAACCTTTCTCTTGGTTGACCCATATTTAATATCTAGGTTATAACTGTTACATGTTGTTGAATCTCTGTCATTAGTGTCGTCTGCTTGATTTTCAATTGGTTTGACCTCTATTTTACTTGTCTGATCTCTTTTAACGTTCTTAATTGTCTTCACTTCACTATCCAGTTTCTTTGCATTATCTTCATTTCTTTTATTTGTGTCTTTGTGATTCTCATCTATTCTCCCATCTTCTTCAGATATATGTCTATTGCAGTTACAATTATATCTCCTACACAGTTCACATTTCTGGGCGGTACAATCTGCTGATATGTGTCCATACAATCTGCAACGTCTACACTGTGTATCTGGGCACTTTGAAAATATGTGGTCCTCTGACAGGCATTGTCGACACACCTTACGCTGGTTGTCGTGTATTAATCGGAAACTTCTTGCCCCTTCTACCGTTTCAAAGCTAAAGGCCCATGGAAGCGATGTAATGTTGCTTGGAAATTTGCATCGAACATACCTCGTACCGTCTGTACATCCTTTAAACTTATTATAGTATCTTCTTCTAACCGGTCCGCTCACTTCAACAAAATTCTCCAGTTTTTGAACTATAACATCATCTTCAATGTATGTTGGTAAATTTAAGATCGAAACTACCATATATCTTGAATATAGGATCTCACCTGATAAGAAATCAGAGTCAACTTCTACTCCATCGCTGATAATAATGGCGTTGTTGACACAGTCAACAGTGACTTCAATAATATCTGGATTTCTCGGGACACACCCATAACAGTTTCCGAGGCCTATCCGCTCTTCCACAGCATCTATAAGTTTATTAATATCAAGTTTTTTAACATCCTTAACTCTAAAGATCACAGTACATTCCTTGTTATAATGTCTAACACCAGATTTAAGGTTCTCATATTCCTCTATATCCATTTTTGAATCCATGAGGAGTTTCAGGAAAGGGGTATCCTCCTTCCTGGGGCCGTAGCCCCCACCTTGTCCTTTTAAATCCGAAGCAATTAAAGCATTTAAATCCCTGTATCACAATTAAACAAAGAAATTTTTGAAGTTTTCTGTCACGGTTGACTAAATCCTGGAGCGAAACATGAACACGTCTATACTCGTCAAGTGATCACAGGCGGGGATACTGACCACTATACTACCGAGGACATGAGAAGAGCGCCGTTCAATCCCATTTCGCCGTGTATGCACTTTACGGGCCCTGACTGCGGCACCAATATCACTGGAAATACTGAGAATTACAGCCTCCGTGGCCCAATGGATAAGGCATCGGCCTCCTAAGCTAAACGCGGTGAGAGACAGCCGGGGATTGCGGGTTCGAGTCCCGTCGGAGGTGGATGAAAATCTTTGATAAATCCAAAGGCGCTTCCAACACAAACTTTTAGTCCAATGAACAGCGTTGTTTCGGACGAGCGTTCAGGTGGCATTCATCAAGGCGCCGTAGCTCAGGGGTTAGAGCGTCTGTCTAGTAAACAGAAGGTCGAGGGTTCAATTCCCCCCGGTGCCTCGAGTACACGCACGGGCGTCCCGACTTTTTTCTCTGTTTCTCGGTCTCCTGACCATTTAGAACGACACTGGAGGCTCGAATAGTCCGCCGATTGCTTGAGACTCGACACCTAATGGTTTCAATCAACGCACCTCCTCCCTTCGCTTTAACCTTTACATTACTGGTTCAATATCGATCCCTCGTATTTGTGTGGTGGATCTGTACTTTAAGGCTCCATTAGAGTCTTTTTCAATTATAATGAAGACAACGAATGCAAAAGACAAAAAAACTCATCCTCCCCGGCGGGGAATTGAACCCCGGT